TTTTTGCTGACTGCTGCTGAAGCATCTCGGCTTGACCGCCAGGTACAACCAACACGCTCTCCTTCTGCTGTAGCGCATGTGTAAAAGCCGTTCGCGTTACTTCACGTGAGCCGTAAAAGTGAAGCACGTCCCGTGCGAGCGGAATTTGATGTAAGATACTTGCCGTCAAGATATGCGCGTGAAAGCTTGGAAACAATTGTCGCCATTGCGCAGTATACTGAAGCCAAATAACAGAGATTGGTATAATGCCGTGTGGATGGAAGCTCAAGACATACTGTTTCTGAGGGTCAAGAGGAGCCGTGCGAATGATAGTTCCACTGAAATATCTTTTGACCGTGTCCATGAGAAAGCTACGACCGAAAATCCAATTTGCACGCTCGCGACAACCTGTATGTTGGGGATTTCCACGGTATGTGAGCTCATAAATGTATAGCAGGACGGTAAGGGATAGCACTGGCACAAACGCATCCATATCGAGAATATAATGCTTGTATGTGGCCAAGGCTGGAAGGCAGGCAGTGATGACCTGAGGCAACACGTACTTCACATGGTATCGATTGACTTGTTTCAGCAAACCATTGTGTGAATCCTTCAAGTACAAATGTGTCGCTACAGAGCGAGACAGCACCATGACAAACTCGAAACCAGTCGCGGATATGCCATAAAAGATAACACCAGCAGGACTTAAGTTTGTCGTCGCAGCAAAGAAAACAAACAAGAGCGCGTTCGGAATGTACTGAAGGTTGGCCATCATCCCAACGACGATAGCACCGAGACATTCGTCCGCAAAGTTGCGCATGCGCTTATGAACCGTCAGAAAGAAGGAATGCAACGAAATTGTAGACGTCAGCGTGGTCTTGGACGTCTCAATCAAGAAAGTGGTATTCAGCTCGTTTGTAGAATCGTCAGAAGATATAGCATCTGAGCAACTTGGTCGTTCTCGTAGTTGGCCAGACTTTTTAAATACAAGCAAAGACATCATCATCCCAATTTCCGCGGCAACAAACAGCAAACCAGCCACAGCCATCGCACCAACGAACAATTCCAGCTCCACCACGCCGAGTGACAGCAAATACACCACTTGCAGCGCCGCGCCAGCTCCAAAACACGTCCAGGACACGATCTGAAAGAACACAAAACGTGCTCCGCCCATGAAAGGCTGATAGAAGTTCCAGCCGTCCTTGGTTGACAACACTCCGCCGAGACCGTATGTATTGAAAAGCGCCGTCACAAAAAGCGCCAGCGAACCCAACCCCGTCGCCAACGGATACCCCACACTGCTTCCAGACGGATGGGGGAACACTCGCGTAAATTCAGATGCTAGTGCTAGCAATGTCGCACCAACCAGCAACAACATATTGTTATAGTTGTTGAGTTGCACCACAAATCGATCTCTTCGACGCTGACGATTGCGATCTCGGCGTTTCTCTAGCGTCAGTACGGACGAGATGATTAGTACTTCGGCGATAAATGCCGCGACAGCCTGCACGGAACAACTTCCAGGTCGGCAGAACGGCATGTCACCCACGCTATTGGAGCTAAAGCAGATGAGCTGAAGGGCCACCGATAGTCCGTACAACCCCCAGCCAATACTTTGGTAGATGGCAAACATGTGATTTCGACGGTACCTTCTTGCAAGCTTTGTTAAAAGAAACGGTGCGCGAGTGTCGGGTGCTGGGGAAGGTACGGCTGTTTTGATGCGTATCGTACCTGTATGAGCGCGCGAGATGGAAATCGGGAACCATGCAGCGGCACTGGTTGCTGGAACAGACAGTTGCAGCGCCCACTGGACAGCAGCATGAATGTCACCTTGCAATACATTAGCAAGTAGAAATGCTGGGTGATGGTGCGTGAATTCCGCTACAGCGAATAGAGTGAATGCGGCGAAGGATGTGATAGCCATTGTGAGCAGGAATACACCACGTGCACTCATGTGTTCTACTGGAACAGGAGGAAAGGCTTCATCCTCGTCGTCTTGGTCCACGATTGACTGTGATAGCTGCTTGGATTTGCGATGTATGAGCTGCGGCGCCTTCATTGAGTTTGAGTTTACTTCGGCAGGAAGCTGTAATTTAAATTGTGATATTTTCATTGAAATTCTGAACGGAGACATAAGAGTTGAATATTATGAAAAGGCGTAATCACGAACGCAGACGAATTAAGAACGTACGTAAACGGCTGAAGCAACAGAGGGTGCGCAATGCGGGCGATCTGGAGACAGCGCCTTACGGTCTAAAACGGGTATCAGCACAATAAATATGAGGCGG